TTAGTAAAAAGAAAGACAGGTATATATATAGGCACGTCCATATTTATTGCCTGTTCATCCTTTTCAATACCAATTCCTTCTGCGCCGATATCAATAGTTTGTGGCTCAGAGTTTTCTTCCTGGTCATCTTCTGGCCATTTGATAAATTCATCCATCATTGCATCCTCTTGTTTTACTTGGTTTGCAAGACTCTTATTAACCTTCCACTCTTCAGTTAAGGTTTTTTCCTCCGGGGTGGTTAGACTTGTCGATCTACTGTTTATTACAACTTCTATTTGGGACTCATCATTATCTGACATTTCCTATTGTAAAGAAGAAGAATAATTACCATCAGATAATTCTTCATCACCCTCATACTTGGGATCATTTTCTTCCTCTGAGGCTTCTATAAGTTCTTCAGGTGTAAGGGGCCAAGAAACATTTTTTTTGGGCTCCCATTCCATCCAGGTTATATCAGAGAAGCTTTCTTCACCCTGGATGGCCCTTAAATCGTCCACTAAGTATACTTCATCCTGAGAAAGTGACATTTCAGCTCCTTTTCCATTCTCATATTCCCACCACTGTTGGGCAATATCACTATGGCCTTCTCATAACAATCTACGGCCTGATTCTACTTTGAAATCATGTCATATCCTTGTTCCCGCCAATTCATATCCACTACTTCACTCTCATCCACCTCCCATGTATTCCATTGTTCTTCTATACTATCAGTCCTTTCAAAATCCATCTCTTCTACCTCAGATTCGTAATCCCCTTCATCCTCATAGTCCTCTTTATAATCTTTATTTTCTGAATACCATTTATTTTTACTATCTTCTATACATATAACATCAATTTTAAAAACCTCCCTAGCTTCTTCTGGCCGGTTTTCTTTCTCATTATCATTTATTTTGGAGAGACGAGATAGTGCATCTACATTAGAATGCACCTGACCACTCCTATGTATGATTTTAAAAATGTAAGATTGGAGCTGGAGGATCCACCTTGCTCTTCTTTCTTTCAATTTCGATGTCTCCAACTATTTAAGAGCGGCATGGTCCGTGATCACTACAAAAGGCTTAATGCCTAAATAATGGTAGAAATACTCAATTCCCCAAATTACTGCCAGGCACTTCAACTCAGTGGTAGAGTAGTTTTTCTCGGTATGACTTAAACTTCGGCTAGCATATGCAATTACGTGCTTCCTATTTTTTTCATCTTTTTGGGACAACACGGCCCCGAGACCTATCCCTGAAGCATCCGTGTGTAAGTAAAATATCTTCTCAAAATTTGAGTACTGTAAAATTGAGGCAGTAGTCAAATGGCGCTTCAATATTTCAAATGCCTTATGTTGAAGCTCGCCCCAATCATATAGCACGTCTTTCCGAAGTAGATGATACAAGAGTTAAGCAAGAGAGGCAAAACCCTTAATAAACTGCCTATAGTAGGATGATAGACCCAAAAATCCTCTTAATTGGTGCAGAGTCTTCGGTGCTTGGTATTCTCGGACTTTGATGACCTTTTCATTATCTGGCCTAATTCCATTCCTAGTAATTTCATGGCCTAGAAACTTTAACGACCTTCTAAGAAAGTAATATTTGTCACTATTTAATTTTAACTGTGCCTTCTGAAGCTTGATAAAGACTCTTTCTAAATGTTCTATGTGTTCCCAGAAAGTTCTAGAGTAGACAGTAATGTCATCTAGGTAGATAGCAACAAATTGCCCGATATACTCCTTTAGCACATGGTTCATTAGCTGCTAAAACGTAGCTGGGGCATTACAGAGACCGAAAGGCATAACATTAAACTCATACACCCTGAACTTGGTGACAAAGGCCGTCCTTTCCCTGTCTTGTTCGGCTATGGAGACTTGCCAGTACCCACTGGCCAAGTCTAAACTGGAGAACCAAGAGGCATTCCCGAATGTCTCCAGCATATTATCTATTCTTGGAATAGGATAGGTGTCCTTCTTTGTTACTGT